AACACAGAGGACGAGGACGTAGGTAGTCACATACTTAAGAGCCATTGGCCACAACTTGTCCGGATTCTTTTATTGTATAGAAGTTCACATTCCTTGTGAAAAACTGATTTCAACTGGGGCGACTTAGCGTTGGGGCGACATGGGTATGGGGCGAAATGGTCATGGGGCGACTTTATACCGGGGCAAGTTAGACTGGGGCGAGTTGTCCTAGATCCGAGCAGTCGAAGTTAGCATCCCCTGGTAAAGGCTTATCAAGATTCATTGTCCAATCTTGAGGTGGATTGTACCAATTCGGCAAGGCAGGGACGCTACGGTCCCCTCTTCGGTAGACATCTTGGAAAGAAACATTGAACTGTCGGATCTGCCCCTGCTTCTCTTCGCTTCGGGTCTGAAACACCGATATGGCAGTCCCATGCAACTCTGACACGCTCAAGTTGCCTGATGCATGTACATCAATATTGTCTATCGCAGTAACAGTAAATAGACCCTTTCAAAGATTTGATGGACAAACAATTTTTTCTTCCTCGGCTCTTGCAACAACTAGTCTGCCAAGTTGTGACGACAATTCCAGCACCCTGTCTGGTGACACACAAATTCTTTTATTGTGCATTTCTGTAATCCACTGCTTGTCTCTATTTCTTCCAAAGCAAGCTAGTCCAAGGTACAGTGGCAAAGGAGGCTCCAAATCCCTTTTGTTACGCACAACGTGACCTTTTGGAACAGTCTTATGGTAATTGAGCATTATAAGGTGCCAAATAGTTGTTAATGGTTTAGTAGCATTGCAGGGAGAGTTCGTTGACGAGCCATATAATAACGTGCTCATGGCAGCAAGAAGAGGCCCCGGTATGGACAACTCGCAATTCTCTTCAAAACTTCCATCAAAGGTAAGTTTTGTGGAAGATATAGACTTCCTCTGTGATAGGGCAAACCTGTGATACGCAAGAGCATCTTCGTCTTGGTTTTCATTTGCAATGTTGTACATTAAATTTAGGGCTCGACGTTTTAAAACGTACTTAGCACCCCACTTGTCTGCTGTCAATTCAGGAAAGTAGTCAAGTAGCTTATTTCGGAGCCGTGTGCTGTGCTCTAAGTTTACTTCATCTTCAGGTTTCTTCTTTAATTCTGCCATCCGAGATTTGTACATTCTCAGAATTTGACCCATATCGAAGACGTGTGCTGACTCAGCATTTAATTTCTCTTCAATGTATAGGACTAGATCAGCAAATGCAATTCTCTCGCATAACAAGCCTTCGTCAAGGTTTTCACCATTTAAATTCATTTTTCTGTACCTGTTTGCTAATGTAACACCTCTTGTGATACTTAGCTTCTATAGCTATAAAATCTCCACAAGTCTCTAAAATGCCAAGAATTCTTGAATCACAAAGAGCTGCTGCGTACAACTTGACTTTGGACGTAAACTCTTTAGTTTGCACATGACTTAATGAGTGTTGTCTTGTTGCAGGTCCGGTGCAAAACAAGCAGATATCGTCCTTTATGCCAACGGGCGTTGATGAGGACCTAGTTCCTGGACGAGCAGCCGATTCAACTGACGTGCTTTTTAAAGAGTTTCCCTGATGTGCCAATAAACCTTTTTCCAGCCCCTCAATAAGGTGTCCCAATTTTGGATTATGAAATGTCAGAGCACATGCCTCGTGCCACCGAGCCTTGCGTTCGATAAGATTTGCCTCTATTCCGTTGCCATCACCAACAAGCAGGCCCGCCCTTCCGCCGAACGGAGTTGCCGGCGGAGCGAAGCGTAGCTGGCAACTCCGTTAGGCAGGGGCCGGGCCTGCTTGGCCTGCCGGCGGCGATGGTCGGGCCGCAGGCCCGACCATTTCTGTCACGCGATTTGCTGAAGAGCATGATGATCGACTGAAGTAGCGGTTTGAGTTCGCCCCAAAGACTCGAGAAAGGGATGTAGGCGCTATCCACGCCAAAAAGACGTAAAAATTTCGTTTTATTCGCGAAATATGTAGCCCTTGAGTAGCTGCACCAGGTGCTGCAGTCCGTTTAGTGATATCTCAAACAGTGTCGCGTCGGGAGCGTTGAGAACAAGGCCCTCCGCCCCACCACCAAGTGACCCTCGGGACGCCTTTCCGCCCGCGGCGCCGCGCGCGCCCGCCCTGCGGAAAAGCGGCCTGTGCAGCGTCATAGTACAAGGTGAGGGCTTTCCATCGCCTCTGTCCAATTTCATATGTGTCATATAATACAAGAGATAAAAGGACAGTTAGGAGACGCGGGACCCGTTATTTATCTTCTTTATTTGCTTCAAACGCTAAAGAGTGCCCAAAAAAATCTCGACGGTCCCACATCCGTGAGCACATTACGTACGCCCACACAAAAATTTAAGTTAGAATCATGATGGGATGACATAGAAAATTCACGAAAACTGATTGAGGCCTTTTGTGTCGCCAGGCTCGGCTCGCCATTGGCTGCCGGCTGATGGGCGCGCGGATTCAAACAGGCTGCTGAGCACCAAAACAGTTTTCGTGAATTTTCTATGTCATCCCATCGAGATCCCAACTTAAATTTTTGTGTGTGCGTAGGTAATGTGGCCACGGATGTGGGACCGTCGAGATTTTTTTGGGCACTCTTTAGCGTTTGAAGCAAATAAAGAAGATAAATAACGGGTCCCGCGTCTCCTAACTGTCCTTTTATCTCTTGTATTATATGACAATATGAAATTGGACAGAGGCGATGGAAAGCCCTCACCTTGTACTATGACGCTGCACAGGCGCTTTTCCGCAGGGCGGGCGCGCGCGGCGCCGCGGGCGGAAAGGCGTCCCGAGGGTCACTTGGTGGTGGGGCGGAGGGCCTTGTTCTCAACGCTCCCGACGCGACACTTGAGATATCACTAAACGGACTGCAGCACCTGGTGCAGCTACTCAAGGGCTACATATTTCGCGAATAAAACGCAGGTCGAAATTTTTACGTCTTTTGGCGTGGATAGCGCCAGTAACGGTGAAGCACCGCGACTACAACCCACCCTTCTGCTTAGAAAACGTTTTTTGAGGGTGGGGTGAGAGTTTACTTTCTATTTTGCGGTTTTTAGGCCTTTTGCTACAATTTATTGTCCACTATGGCAATTTTTAGCTTATTTTCGTCAAACAAGACCCTCTAGCGCCTAAACGGTTAGAGATAGAGCAAAACGGACGAAATTTTCGCCCAAAGGGCTCTACTTTGACGAGTTACTCCCTAGGCTTGTCTCTATTTCTTCCAAAGCAAGCTAGTCCAAGGTACAGTGGCAAAGGAGGCTCCAAATCCCTTTTGTTACGCACAACGTGACCTTTTGGA